AGTCGTCGAAAAATTATTACAATTACATATTTGACATTGGCACAACAAACTGAGTTACGCGCTGTGCGTTGTTGTCAAGCTGTGTTTGTTGTTGTTGCTGCTGCTATTATTTACAATTTTTTATTTTAAATGCCGCGTTGTTATTGTTTGGCTGCGCGCGGCGCTCGCTAGCGGTAATATGCCGCCGCACAGTGGGTGGGGTGGTTGATTGTATGCGCCTCGCGTCATTGTCCCTACGCGCGTCAGTATCAGCAACAGCGCCAGCAGCAGCAACTTCGCAACTGTGTGTGTGTGTGCGTATGCATTTTTGTTGCTCGCCATTGTCATTGTTTGTCAACAGATTTGATTTGCGTTGATGAAGGTGCTCGTTAGCGCATTGTTTTGTTTTTTTGAATTTAATAAATCTTCACACTCGCTTTTCAGCCTTATTTATTGTCGTTTATGTGTCATTCACATATTCCTTTTTTCCTTTTTTTTGGAATTTTATTTTAAAGCTTTTCGTGTTCCTCTTTCTTATTATTTGAGCTCATAATATTCTTTGATTGATGTGACAGTGTAATTAATTTTCGCCACATGTTCTCGCTAAAGCGCAGTTTTGGCCGCGGTTGGCGCGCAAACTGTCCACTGTCGAGGGTTTAAGTGGTTGCTGAGCCTTGTCGGGATGATTGACTGTCTTTACGTTTGTTGTAAAGGTATTTTTTAATTTCACCGTTATTGGAACTCGCTACATTTTCCGTCATTTCACTAGACTGGCGTCGCACATACACACACACACACAGAGAATCACACGCACACCGGTCAGCCTTTAGCGGGCATTTGCATTGTTTTCATGCGTTTGCACTTTTTAATTGCAATTTTTCCGATACTTTGTCACATTATTGCCATTTTTAATGATTTGCTGTTATTTTTGTTGCTGTTGGCAGTCGGCGTTTGCCAGGAAGCGCTTGCCACAATGTTGCATGCTTACAGCAATCCATCAACCGAGCTGATATGTACACACATATGTATATGTAGCATTTCACATTGCACGCTTCTCACTTTCCTGCATATGTACATACATATGTAGAACCTTCAACCATAATGTATGTAGTAGTATGTTTCGCTTAAATTGAAAATTATTTTTAACCGACTTCCAAAAAAGGAGGAGGTTATCAGTTCGTCGGAATATATTTTTTTTTTTTTTTTTTTTTATGTATGTTACCGCATAACTTTGGACCACGTCAACCGATTTCGATAATTCTTTTTTTTTGCATCGGAAAGGTAGTGTCTCAGAGGTGGTCCCATACTAATCTGGTTGAGATCCGATCAGTGGATCATGAGATATATATGTATATATATATTTTTTTTATATGGGAGTTGAAGTCGGTTTTTTTTTTGCTAAAAATTACTTGTTAACTCCATGCTTCTTCGGAAAAAAGTCATTCACAGTACATACACATATGTCATATATTATTACATATATACATATATAATATATACACACATACAATCAAGCATTTTCACTCATGCCCGTTGTTTGATTAATTTTCTTGATTCACTTGATTTAAGTATACTACTTACGCGCCTGAATGGGTTTATTGCCATCTGAGCGCATAATTTATGAGAGTTTTTGTTGTTTGGCAAAAAGGATAGCGGAAGATTTAATGTTTTTGTGTTTTGAGAAATTATTCTCAAATAAATTAAAACTTAGTATAAACTTATTCTGTAAATTTTTTGCCTACTTTATTGTGTTAATGGCTGCGTTTCTTTATACATTCCGGATAATCCAATTTCACAGCCGGAATAAGCAGAATGCGTTTGAAATATACGTCAACATATCATCAGGAACGTTCTAAAGAATAAATAAACAAAAAAGTTTATTCCAAACGTTCAGAATGAATAAAGAAATGCAGCCAATGTCTAACAAATATGATTTGTTAAAAAACTTATAAAAGAAAGCTGATAGAAAAATAACGTAAAGTTTTTATAAAAACTAGCCGGCGTATACACATATAATCTCTTTAACCCTCTAGCTACAATTTTTTGTGAGTCTGTTAAAAAGGCCAAAATGGTAAATATCAGAAAAAATAAAGACGGAACACTTTTGAGGGCTTTTGATTGGCGACACAGGCAGCGATTTCGAAGAAGAAGAACCAATACAAATCTATAGTCACGAATTCGACAACGTTTCCCTCAACCAATACAAGTTGAGAACTTCAATAATTAGGACTAGAGTGTCAGTTACTGTCGAAATTCGACCATATTTCTATTTCTTAAGAGCCTTGGAGAGGTTTTCTACCTTAGCACCTAGCGAAACTTATAAGGTACAAAGTAACTTACCGGAAAAACTCATGCTTTGTAACTAAAACTTGACTTGACTTGATCTTTGAAGGTCTTTGGAGGACTTCGGCAGAACTTGCAATTGCCCCGATACATTCCAGTTTATCGACAAATTTCAATAATTTGATGAATTTCAGAAACATTAAAATCCGATAACTCAACAAAATTGGGTAACTTGAATAATTTCGATGACTGTGAAATTCGAGGGCTCGATAAATTTCGATAACTTAAAATGTATATATGTCCATATAATTCGATAAATCGATAAACTTTGGATACCTTTATAAATTTCGATAACGCGGTTAATTTTGACAGCACCATATTTTTGGAAAGCTATCGCCAAATTTTGATAACTCGTTGCACGCTGTTAACACGATAAAATTCGATAAGCAGTGACAACTCGATAAACTTATATAAGTTTGAAATTTCGCTGCTTCGATATCTTTTTAAAATCCCATAAACTGCGCATCACCAAAATAGGCAATTTCTGTAAATCAATAATTATCGATTACTCTGTAAGTTGAAAGAACCCGATGCATTACGCTAACTCGATAAATTTCGTTAACTCTATAAATAATGATAATTCAATAAATATCGATAACTTGACAAATTTCTTTAACTCAAAAAATTTCGATAAGTTTCTGTGTCTATAAATTTCGACAACTCAATAAACATAGATCTATTTTGGTAGGTGTTCTGAGACCCAAGATCTTATCTTCAAATGCTTCCAATTAGCCCACTTAGTATATTAACGGTCTTGAAAACAAAGTGTGGAGAACACTTTCGCACAGTCTCTGAAAATTCGCTGGGACCATCGTAAACGAAGGCGCAAAACATGTTAACCGAAAACAAAACATCAGTTGCTTGCAAGCTGAGATTAAATATTAAGCAACCGATAACCCAGGCAGCATACCTAGAAGATGTAAACAATTTGAAGCACCTCTGAAATTACTACGCGTAGTCGCACCATAGTGAAAATGACTACAGGGTCAGGCAAACTCCAAAGAAATTACCCATATATATGACACCTGTCACCTCTTTGTCTGCGCTACATTCGTAGAAAAAATATTTATGCTAAATACTTTGGCGAAGTTCAGACATCATTAGGATTGCCAACGGGAAATTGAATTCGATTTTCGACATCCGGGTTTTCTATATTCTGTATAGTATCACGAGGGCTTATATTCAATACCCTCTATCTGCAGTTTTCACAAAAACCCATTCTGACTTTGCACTTTAATAGTAAAGTCTTCTGTCAAGCGTTATACAAGCTCAGCATTAATAAAACCGATGACAGTTAACTTTTTGGTGAAGTTTACATCAGAATCTCATTTTTGTGGAAAGTGCAGATAGAGGGTATTGAATATAAATACATAAGCCCTCTATCAGTTAAGGCAAACCTTTTGGGGCCATTATAGCTAGGGTTTTAATTATTATTATACATCATTTATGGGCAGCTTTTACCTAGGATGCAGGTTCCATGATATCTGTTTTTGCACACGCGTGGGCAATAAATTTAAATCAACAACAGGAAATACGAAATATTTAAGTCTTAAATATAACAGATACGAAGCCAAAATTAGGACTTAATGTTGAGGATAAAGTACGCAAGGAAATATGTTCATACCGCAGGTAAATTTGTAGCACATAGAGAATGAAGAAACCCTGTACATTATTCTAGTATATCTATGCGGACAGAATGCTAAGTGGTCTATCAAAAAGTAGAAAAGGCCATCAAATGTTTTGGCCGAGACTCCCTAAGCTCCACTCTAAACAATAACTATTTACACAGTTTATCATACTCTCAGCTTTTGGCTTTCAGACCAATGGAGCGCTTTTCAGGCTTAGCTAATGATATTTGATAAGATCGCAGCTTTAGTAAATATAATGCCAAATACGGAGGTGGTATTAAGCACAAAGCCTCTCCAAAAGGGTTATAACTTATGAAACATAGTCCTGTGCACTTTTGATCGCCGTAAAATTATAAAACCAGTGAATATTATATGGTGCGACGAGCTAACTTGCAAAAGTACCAGACAAAACCTGTAGTTTCAAGCGCACAAGCAAGCTTTTATGCCTTCACAAGCAACACATTAACATTGTAATATCTGTAATTACAGCACATAACCTGGGCATAATATCTCTTTGGGACGCGTCCTCAGCAACCCAATCTAAGCTAAATATTAGTGAAGGGAATTCGTGTGTAAAGAAAATCTCTTATGAGTATAAATGTCTATTCTTGTAAGGCTGCTCTGGACTGTAACCAAAGTAAGTGTTTATGTTAAATGCATCGACGAAAATTTCAAAAATGAATAAAAACTAAAAATTTTAGTGGTTTGAAAAAATTTAATAAAGAAAAGTAATCGCAAAAATTTGACAATTTTCTTTTTTAATCTGATAAATTTGACATATTATTGTGACTTATTCATATAAGAGCATATAATCGCTAAGTTATGGCTGATCACAGTCAACTTATTGTCGAGCTTTTACGATAAGCAAAAAATAAAATTTTTTCAAACTCTGGTTGCGGCCCTATTTTCTTTTCTTTTTAATTTTAGAAATTTTCGTTTTGCACCTAGAACAAAATAAAAGGGGGGGAGGGGGGTGTTGATATTTTAAGGACCACCCTAACATACCTTAGTAATAAATTTAAAAACAAAATTTTAAATCAATTTGCTCACCTGTGTATAAAATATTCGAAAAAAAATCCGGTTTTATATGCTTCGTGTACAAATTGTTACATCCATAAAATGCCAAAAAATGCAGTTGTCACAAAATAATATTCACACCAACAAGTAAATTGGTTTGTTCTGCATACAAGTCCTTTATTGTTTTATACTATTTCTATATCACGCTTCATAAAAATTTGGCAATCGAAAATCTATGAAATGTATTTCATGAATATTTACACAGTTTTTTGTTGTTACTTTTGGCACATAATTAAAAAAGTCGATTGTTTCGTTGAATCAATATGTCATGCCAATGTTTATTTTGGTTGTCTGTTTACAAAAAAAAAACACTATTTTATATCAGTATTTATTTAAGGCCTGTAAAAAATATTTATTTTCTCGTTTTTGAAACGTATTTTGATTTAACTTTTTCTGCACTGTTGCACATTGTAGTAGAAATGCTTTGCTGTATTATTTTTTTAATTGCAATATTTTCTTTACTACACATTTAACTAGTAAAAATTCTGTGTGTTTTTGTAGTTTGTTTTTTTATTTTAATATTTAATTGTTATTCCATTTGCACGTGCAGTTGGTTTGCTTTTAGCATTTCATACATAGTGGCTGTACTGTTTGTTTGTTTTCATAAATTTTGAAATTGCAGTTTGCAGCAATTTGCGATTATTTGTTTTTAGCACTTTAGTATTTTATTGCTTTCTTGTGTGTTTCCTTTAGTTAAAAATTTTTTTCACGCGCTTCAAAATATTGTTGGCGAAATTTTTTTCGCCATGAACTTTTCGCTGTTTCTGTGTGTTGAAATTTTATTTTTCACTGTTTCAGGGTTTTCCATTTTAACAATTTGCAATGCGTTGATATTTTGATTGATTTTTAACACTTTATTATTTGTAGTTGTACACACATTTTGTGCTCACTTCACTGTACTACTTCACTTTTGTTACTGTTTTTAGTTTGCTACTTGTTTTTAAACCATTTTTATTGGCTATATCTTTGTTGCTTATTGTTTAGTTACCAAAACACTGCGCTGTTAAAGGGTTAAAAGAGGGAAATTTTGTTTTAATTGTGGAAATGCAGCAAAACAAATGCAATTAGTTTTGATTGACTTTTTCGGTGTTTGTAGTTTTTAGCTTGAAAAAGTTTATATGTGTAAAAAACTTTGTTCATGGCTGATTTGATCTGTGCTATGCCAGTTTGGCTGTTTCTATTATGTATGTATGTATGTATGCATGTATGTATTTTTTTCCGTTGCTCTTGTACTGGCGTAGACAAATCCCTAATCGTAATCACTTGGCGTCGGTTTTCAACCTTCTATATTGTGTTACTTTTTCGCATATGCATGCATCTTCGTTAATGTAATTTCTCAATAAAATTATTTAAAAAAAAAAATAAAAAATTGATTGAAAAAAAATATTTTACCTTCCAAAACACAAATAAATTTTATTATAAAAAAGCTATATTTTTATTTTTGTAATTTTTCAGGGTCTGTGTTTTAATTTTGAAGTTCATTTCTCTTTCAAATCAAAAATAAAGTTTTTTTTCCAGTCTTCAGTGGGTTTCGGTTAATTTTAATATTTTTTTTCCTAAATGTAATTTCGATTTTTTCACTAATATTGATAGTCAACAATTCATTCGGTTCAGTCACCAGACAAAATTAACAAACTTAATTATTTTTGTCAATGTTATTGTGGCTTGTTAACATTTTATTTTTAATATTTT